CCTGTGGTTTGCAGGCACCAGAACCCAGCAAACCTTTCCGCTTCCAGGCTGAGATTATTTCTTTATATTACTTTTTAAAGAAAAAAGCCCAAGCACTATTCCTTCTATTAGCAACGCACAGCTATGCCTCAGTCTCCCACAAAAAACAGTTGGAATGCGAGAACACTAACAGCAGATTAGGAGAAATTCATACAAATGTCACAGTTAAAGTCCAAAACATCATGTGTCACTGTTTTTCCCCTCCAACCCCCAACAAGCTTCTCAAAACACATTTCATACACAGGGTCACTGTTCTGGCTGTTTATTTAATTAACATGACAACCCAGAGTACACAGGATTTCTTTCAGTTCCCCAGCTTCGCATTTTCACACTTCAGGCAGAAAGAGCAGAAAGTCACTACTGTACTTTACTTTTTTTGCCAATATACCATAATATACGTTTCTTGATTTAACCAATCGACAAAAATAGATTCTAAGCCCTTCGTGAGAGTGTCAGCAGCAGTTTTAACATTTCTGTGAGGCTGAAAGAGAAATGAAAAATCCCAAGTAGAGCAGGTTTGCGTAAATGAAGCCATGCAAAAGAAAATAAAGCATTACATCTGGAATCCCTGGGTGATTTTTCCTGGAGCCTTTCTTTAATATTTTACATGGTTGTGTTTCAGCAAGTCACCAGATGACATAACTCCTCAGTATTCCTTAGTTTTTAGTGACCTAAATGGCAATGCCATTAAATCTTATCAGGGTAGTTACAGCTCAATAAAGCTTATTAGCGGGAGGTATATGGTATATAAAACCTCACATGTCTAATAGACACAAAGTTCAGTACCTAAATTCAATCTGCCAGCTCCCCTCTAAAATTTTAGATTTCTCTATGTTGCACCCTGATCACTCCCATTTTCATGCCAGAGCACAGGATCCATATTAATAAAAATTGGTTATAATATAAGAGAACTTTTTAAGGTAAAATGAAAAAGAACCAGCAAAGGGGAAGAAGCAACATATTCCTGGCACTACCAAAGCTGTCACTATCAAACAATGAGAAGAGATAAAGCCTTAATTTTATGCAGCAGAATAAAACAGCCACCAAGTCTCAAACCGACAGAAAATAAGTGACAGACCCTCAGATGTACCTCGGGAAGGCAAAGAGCTTTCTACTGCTCCTAATGCCCAGAAGGAGGGCAAAACAGAAATGCATACGGAAAACAGAAATACAAAGCAAAAGAGAAATACATAAGGAAAATGGATAGAAAACCTGTCTGCCTTCGGAGGCAGAGAGCACGGGCAGGAGTTTTTATGTGGAGCTGCTGGGCTGGCAGCTGGGTATCTGAAGCCTGTCTTTTGCAGCTTTCCCAAAACACTCTAATTTTATAAATTCCCACAGCTGAGGACATGGGAAAAGCCCTTCCATCAAGACTCAGCACCTTCTCTCACACAGGGCTGTGTCACCCACGAGTTGGGGGACCAGCAAGTCCTTCAGACACTGCTGTGTGCTGTACCCCTACAGCCTTCTGACTGAGGTAAAAAACACCCTGCAAAAGCAAATTAAACTATTTGCAGCAGCTGCAGATAACTCGTACTTGTAATAAATCCAAGGTGGCTGAAAGCTTCCCTAGACAAGCAAATTTCGAAAGCAAAATCAGGAGACTTCAGCATGGTGCAGATTTGCCCAGCTACAATCTCCTGTGCAAAAGCATCCCCTTGGACTGCTTTATTTGAGATTAACACACCGATCAGAGGCACAGGCCTCAGAGCACATGGGCGTTAAAATATTTGAATGGGAAAAAACAACACATAGAACACATTTCTGCTCCCCTCCCTACCCCCACTAACCTTCTCTCAGCACTTTCAGAAAGAGATAAAATGTATGCAAAAACCTGGAGAAAAAGCTCCAAAAGCCATCTTTTTGGTGGCGCTTTTGCATTTACTGGAAAAAAAAAAAGAAAAAAAAGGCATTTCTTCATTCATTCATTCCCTGTCTTATCCATCCATTCACAATTTTGCTCTGCATCCTCTTTAAATGTGGCTGAGCGAGCCCTCAAGGAGCTGAGCATCCTCAGCCAGCCTTGATGAAATCACAGGGAGACAACACTCAGCTGGGAGCAAGATCTGCACACACTCCTCAATGAGATCTACACACACACACCAGGCTGGAAGCTTTTAATCCAAACACTCTGCCAAAGTCTGGGAAAGAGAGGGATCATATACACAAAACAGCCACAAAAAGCAGAGAATTAAACTGAAAATGGGAAAAGAGCACTTTTAGCAAGAACAGAAGGTTGCATCATGGTACCATTTGAATTCTGGATGGTGGCTTTTTTTAATAAAAGTTTTTCTTTTCAAATTCTTTTTGGAACTGGTAAGAATCTAACACAAGGTGTGCTAATACAATATCCATTTTGTCAGTTTGCAGTTCCTGGTACTCTCCTTTACAATGCCACATAGATTCACCTTCAAATTCTAGTAGGGAAGAATTCAGATTAATATTGAGAGGTGTGTGACTAAAAAAGAAAAATTCAGAAATTCCAGCTTTCATAGAATCTTATATTAACAGAAACAGACAGACATGAAGGGAATCAAATTCTGGAAAAAGAAAAGCTCAATTAAGTGCTCAGCAATAGGAAAGGTTACACAGGAGGTGATGGGAAAGATCTCTAAAACTTTGCCTAATGTTAGTCACTAGACTGAAGTACGTGTTTCAAAGCAATAAAGTGGATCTATTTCCTGATGAACAAGCTCACAGATGTACAAACAAGACCAGAAACATTCAGGGGATGTTTTTTAAAAACGGGAGGGGGGGGGGGAAAGAAAAGGCCTGGTTTTCTTTCAAAGCCCTCATGTCTATTTTTAACATGTTATATTTAAAAACTGTCCAAAAGGAAAACATTTACCTGTACTTTCTTTAAGCCTACAGGGAGCTGATTTTTCCTACAAACATAAACTGTGTTTGCTGTAAGAGAGTCCCACTTCTCCCACCATTTCTTCAAGGTCCTTACAGAGCTTTGTTTCAGCTTTTCCATTTTTCTCTCATGCTAGCATTTATTTAAGAGAACAGCTTTTAGGGAGAGGAGTTCACCTACACACAGCCACATTGTGTTAAAAAAAAATACAGAAAGTCTCCCCAAACTCCAAAGTTATCATCCATTTCTAATCACACAGAGACACAAGCTATACCAGATCTCACTATTGATTAATAGTGAAAAGAAAGAGAAATTGGCCAAAATCTTGCAGCGGGTGAAAGGAACAGTTGCCAGCTAACTCCAGCCCAGCTCCACAGCCTGGAAGTGGGAATTGCTCGGGGCAAAGCTGGCCACTGTCCCCAGATAAGGCACCATCAGGGAGGGAAAAGGAGTCTACCTCGTTATCCATCACCAGTCCAACCTTCTGGTAGATGCAGGAGATTTGAAGTCCCTCCATAAGAAGAGACAAGGACCATGGTCACCGAGTCCTGTCTCCAAATGATTACATTTAGAGATGTTAACTAAAAGGCTGCATTTATTGGAAGTGTGAAAGCAAGTGGAAAATATGCTTTAAGACCTTACAAATGATTATTGTAATAAACCACCAGAAATGCCTAGCATCACCAAGTAAGCATAAATAGTTTTAATTTCATGCCTTATTGTACTTACAAGTTACTCTTACACTGTTGCCTCTCAGTTCCTGTTAAAGTCACAACTCGGTCAGTTTTCTACTTTTTCACACTGTATTTGTCTGTGGTAAATATTTACTTTACCTAAACAACACTGTTAAATAAATCAGCGCGTTTGTTGTAAAACAAGTCTCAAGTATATAAGGTTGTCAGGCCCTCTTCTAAGAAATGTCAACACCAACCACAAAGGGATGCAAGCAAACAATTTCCAGAAACAAACTAGCCACCCACACCACATAGTTAGACATAGCCATTACTTGGGAAATACTTTGCTGCTTATCCAGCAATTCACCTGAAAGAAAACCTTAGGTGTACGACAACACGCTTCACTTGATCACAGCGCACAGAATCCTTTCCAACACCAGGTGAAAAAGAAAACTTAACGCCGTTTGATTCTTATTTCCCCCCAGGTTTCCCTTGCCACTGCTCAGCAGGGGTTGCGCTGACTTTCAAGACACCCCGTTACACTCGACCCTTTTAGCGATATTTCTGTGGGGCAACCTTAAATCTCAAAACAACTGAAAAACACCTCAAGCGCAGAACCAAGCGCACTTTGTGTCCGTCTCAGGGCTCCGCACAGCTGTGCAGCACAGACACCGGCGCCTGATCGCTTCTTTCTCCAGCTTTTTTGAGGTGTGCGCTGAAACGAACGCATCTCCGGCAATAAAGTTCTCACTCAGCCATTCCAATCACAGCCTCTCAGAGGAAACAAAGTTGAGATAAATCGCGTGTGCCTCGCACCGCTTCCCACAGCCAGGGCAGAGCCGGAGCTATTGATTACACGCACGGGAGCAGCCTTGGGGAGGCAAAGTGCAAAGACGAGCCTCGGCGGACGGGCTCCCGGCCCGATCAGGGACTTCTCCCACCGCGGGCGAGCTGCTCGGCTCAGGCACACACACCCCTTCCAAGCTTAACGCAAGTTTTAAAAGGCTGAGGTGCCTTTCTAGGAAACTACAGCTCTGAAACAGCGGGGTTCCTAGGTGATGCTGGGAATGCCGAGGGCTGCGCTGAGGGCAGGTTCCCACCGGCTCCGAGAGCCAAGCGGGCACCGCGCACCCCAGCCCTCCCTCTGCCAGCTTTAGGAAGAGCCAGCGCCGGCCACAGCTCTAAGGGAAAAGCACACCCCGAGCGCTCTGCTCGTCGCCCAGAGCCGCGGATAGTCAGCCTGGTCCGGAGAGCCCGGCTTGAGCTCGGCTTCAGCCCGGCTTCCCCCGGTCCCGTCCCGAGGCGTCCCGGGGCTCTCCGCGCCGGGGAACCCGCACCGTGCGCGGCCTCTCCGGCAGCAGCGGCTCCTCCGCCGCCGCCGGGACCCCCGGCAAAGTTTGGGACGCGTCTCCCCCCAGCCCCTGCCCTACCTGCTCCCGGGGGATGCAGGGCAGCGAGGTCCTCCGGTGGGTCTTGTTGCCGCTGCCGCCGCCGCCCGACATCTCGGGGGAGATCATGGAGCTGGACCGCCGCCGCCGCCTGAGCACCGGGGCTTCGTCCGCGGCCGGGGGGGCGGCGGGAGGCTCGGCCAGCGGGGCGGCCCGCCGCGGGGGCCAGAGCCGGTCGGCGTAGCCGGCCAGAAGGATGCCCAGCAGCCCCAGCAGGTAGGCCAGGTAGGGCCGCCAGGACGCCGGGACCCTCTCCAAGGCGACGAGGGACGTGGTCTTGGCCGCGCTAGTCACGGCGAGCATGAGGACGCCCTGCCTCAGCTTCAGCACCAGCCATGTCACGGCGGCCAGGCAGCTCAGCACCACCCCCGTGGCGGCGAGGGAGAGCAAGTGATCCTCCTCCTCCTCCTCCTCCTCCCCCGCCGCCAGCGCCGTCTGCGCCACCGCTTCCCCCCCGCAGCAGGCGGCCAGCAGCAGCAGCAGCAGCGCCGCCGCCCGCGGCCGCACCGGGCAGCGCCCCGCGCCCGAGAAAGCGCCGGCCAGGCAGAGGAGCACCGCGCCGGGCAGCCCCCAGCCCCGCTCCCCCCGCGCCAACCTCACCGCCAGGGCCGGCAGCACCGAGAGGGAGCCGGCGCTCAGCGCCGAGGAAAGTTTCCGGCGGCGCCGGGGCTCCCGCGGCGGCAGCGGCGCGGTGCGGGCGGGCGCCCCTCGCTCCGCCGCTGCCGCCCCGCCGCCGCCCGCCGGGCTGCGCTCCTCCATGGCCTCGGTGCGCTCCTCTGCGCACCCCGGGGTTGTTGGCAGCCGGGCAGGGTCCGGGAGCGACCCCGCGATCAGCGCCCGCTGGCCGGGGGGCGGCGGGCCGGGGGCGCTCCCCGCCGCGGCAGCGCCGGCATTTCCTGCGGAGCGCCGCGCTCGCCCCCCGCCCGCCCCCTCCCCGAGAGCCCAGCGCCGCGCCTCTCCGCCACCACCTCGGGCTTGGGGCGGTAAATTAAAATTTCTTTTTGAAAGTACAGGACTGGGAGAGACGCGGAGAAATCCTAAGCGGTGTAAGAAAACGGGCAGGGGGGAAAGGCAGATGTGGCACCTCGGAAGCGCTGCTTTATTTCTAGGCCGTCCTTTGCCTCGCGGGCGCTGGAACAGCGCTGGCCGCCCGAGGGTCCGGCCCGGCCGGCGGGGGTCCCGGCCGTGCCCCCCGGGCAAGGGGAAGAGACCTCCCGGTCGTTGTGGATTGCGGGGAATGAGAAATGACAGGGAGAAAAAAAAAATAATAAAGCCCAGGGCTTAAAAAAAAGGCAAATAAAAGGCCAGCGGAACCGCGGCAGAAGTTGCGAAGTCCTGCCGGGAGGGCGAGAAAGAGACCTGCGGGAGAAACTTGAACGTAAGCCTGCTTGGGAAGAGAAAAAGAGGACGAGCGAGAAGGGGAGGATTTCCCTGCTGAGCGCTGCAGGGATAGTGCTTGAGCTTTAACACGGGAAAAGCGCTGCCCAAAGCCCCGCAGCAAACCTGCACCGAGCAAGCGGGCAAAGCTTGGGGTGTTGGAGGCGATAACGAAGGAGGAAAAGCGGGGGTTTCGCCGCTTCCAGAGCCGCCGGAGCGAGTCCCAGGGAAGGGCAGCCCGGCCCTGCCCCGAGCTCCCCGGAGCAGCCCCCGGCACCGGCCGCTGGCAGCCGGGGCATCAATCCGCCTGTCGGGGTGGGGGCAATTACGGGGCCGTAAAAGAGTCAGGAAGATGGATGTTTATGAGTGATTACTACGGGTTGTGTTGTTGCTCTAATAGGAAGCCCCAGCTGGAATCCCAAAGCCAGCGGGCCAGGGTCCTGCGAAGCGCTGTGGGTTTCCAGGCTGTCGCTCCATCCAAAAGCCGCTGTTTCTTCCTCAAAACCTGCCTCGTTCTCTGCTCGGGGCAGACTCTGGGCCTGCCCCTGGGCTGCCCAAAATTGGTCTTGACACGAGCGGGATCAGGTGCAGACTGAGTCTGTGCAAAGCCCCGGGTGTCCCGAAGAGCATGGACTAATGTATTTAGCACTTAATACAAACCACGGAGAAATACAATCACCAGCTGTGAAGTGACAGAGCATTAAGTGTCAGGAAACGAACAGATTAGAAAACAGAATTTCCCAGCCCTCTTTCCTCCCCTTGCACATCTACAAATCACTAATTTGAGACAGATTTATAGCCTTTACATATTTATTGGTGCATCTATCTGGATATCATGCCTATCATCCGGGGATCTGAGTGTCTGAAATGGTAGCATTAGTGAAGCATACTTGGGATTTTTATTAGAAATGGGTCATAAAAACTGAGTCTGTCTTAAAATAATAGTTTTCCAGCCTAACTATTATGGAATATGGATTTATTAGTCATTTTTATGTTTGAAGCTTGGTTTGAAAACAACCTAGATATTGTTAGCAAAGTTTGGCTCGGAGGAATGGAAAGCCTCTGGTTTTTTTAAAGGTTAAGGGGCCAGATTAAGAACAGCTGGAAAGGTTTAGAGTTTATTCTTGTGAGACAGCAATCAGCAGGTTGCCATACACATCTAGAAAAACACAGCTAGTCCCATCTACCCTAAACATCAACCTCCCAGAGACAGAACCAGTACCCAGATAGTAATAATCACATGACTATTTTTCACTTTTTTTAAAAAAACAAAAATATGCATCTTTCATGTGTTTCTAAGTCTAGATGCATCAGAACAAAATGCAAGTAAATGGATGCTGCAATACTGGATAACACACATGCAGCAGTTGCAAATCAGAGAGATCAGACTTTTGACCTAATACTCCCTACCAAGTAGCATTTGCTTACATCTTATCTCCACTTTGTTACTTTACACTTACACCTCCTGATACCAGAAATGTTGACACTTTAAATAAAATAATGAAAACAAAAAGAAGGACTAGAGGAATAAACATTCCCTACCTTAATTTCTTTGCTGCCACCCCATTTAGAATTATAATACATAGATCAGAGCAGATAATTGACTATATTCTTTTAATTCCTTAAGCTAAAACATTAATTATTCTGTTTAGATTAAAAGCAGCGTATATGTATATATATATTTTTTTTTTTTTTTTTTTTTTTGGACACATTTTAGGTTTTTTCCAGTCTCACAT